GATGCAACACACGGTCGTCGTGCAGTTAAGCTACACTTGTCAAGTGAAAGACTAAACCCATAAGCATGATCAAAATGAGCAGATCGACTTGCAGCAGTACGAAGAGCCTCAAGATCACACTTCTCATGGAGCCAAAGCGAACGATCGTCGATGTAGGCAATCCCCGAAACTTGACCCTGAACCGGACCCCCTGTGCAGTAGCATCGCCACACATGAGCAATGGCCGCTGACAGCACCGGGCTCAGGGGACATCCCTGAGGGATGCCCGTAGTCACATCAGTCCATTGGTCGCTGAGCACTCCACTCATGGAGAAAATCCGTTGGGACTTTGTATAGAAACTGCACAACAGTTCAAGGAGGTCGCTAGGAAAGCGCAAATGCTCAAGTGTTCGACGCAGCGTGATATGATTAATGGTATCAAAGTATGCAGACACGTCCATCTGAAGAAAATGCGAGGCACGACGCCGAAAGGCCTGCTGTACCTGCATCAAAGCAGACTGCACCGACATGTCAAAAACTCCACCAACATCACCATGATCCCTCCAACTTTCGACCCAAGGTCGGAGTTGGTGCTGCAAGCATCGAGCTCCTGCCCTCCACACTGCATTGAGCAAGGTGATAGGACGGGTGCGTTTCTGAGGCTTCCACAAAAGGACCACACGAGCTTTGCGCCACGAAGATGGCACACGACCTAGTCGAAGAATGGCTGCCCACAGAGCAGCAGCCCAACGATACCAAGCCATGGGGAGGAGCAAAAGGTCACGAGGCATCCACCCATCAGCACCACCAGTTTTGGACCTCATGACCTGCATCGATTCTCTGAGGGCCTCAGCTGTAACCTCAAAAGAGAGCGTCTGAGCAGCAGGGCGCGGCACCTCGGCCAAAACACCATCAATCATCGAGAGATCAGGGTTGAAGGGACGCTGCCATTTGGCCGCCCACAGTTGAGCCTGCTCACAAACGGCCTGGGCAGGATGCCACCCATCCTCAACCTTAGCAGCATCAGGAGGGGCTTGTTCCCATGCCAGTAACTCATCCGCTCTGCGTTTGACGTACGAACGGACCACAGACTCATCCACAGCAGTGCGCTGCCGCCATCGCTCAAGGTGAACCTCCCGCTCAGACTTTGTCAAGGTGTCAACAAGTCCAGAGACAGCCGCCACGGCTTCAGCAGTTCCACACTGCAGGTACGGCAACTGCGGAAGTAAAGCACGGACATGAACACAAGCCGACGCAGTCCGGCGATGCAGCGGCGAGTCCCAAGGTCTCATGTTACAAAGCTGAAGCTTCTGCAACAACCGCCGTAGGGCACGAAGACCACGAGAACCATCAAGTTCTGCCCCTTGACTAGGCCTAGACCTAGGAGCAACAGGCTGCCATTCCTCACTTCGGCAACGCACCTTACGAGAGGAAGCGGGCTCGAACAAAAGATTCTCAGCCACATCCGAAGCCATAGCCCAAGCACCATCAAGGTCCTGAGCCTCCAGGAGCTCGTGAAAAGCCTTCTCATCCTCCAAAGAGAACTCAGTGTCCTGTGCGGGCCTCTCCGGAAGGTAAGTGCAGCGCCGAGGAGGAGCACGAAGAGCAGCAGGAGCTGCTAGATCAAACCCATACTCGACTGCAAGATGATCGGAAAGGCTGGTTGTGAGCAGCTCAGGGCACTGCTCAACGAACGAAGCGAAGAGATCTCCCAAAGTCACACCATAATCAATCCGACGCCTGCGAGTTCCATTGTACACAGGGCCCGTGGGGGGCAACACGAGGCCCTTGGCAACAGCATCACAAGGATGAATGGTGCCAGAATGGATCATGGCAGCGATTTCGCCCTCCTCCTGTGTGAGATTCCAGTCCCCGAGGACCAGAGTGCGCCGACCGGCATTGGCAGCCTCCATGATGCAATCAACTGCCTGGGCATTGGCTTGATCAGCCTTCCCACTCTGGAGATACACCGAGGCCACAAGCACAGGATGCTTACATCCGTGAGCCTGCAAGTCAAGCAGTGCAGCAGCACACCGATGCTCACAGTCACAACGACACAAGGTGACAGGCTTCAGCGGGATCCTACTGATCAGGGCCGTTTTGCACAAACCATCCTCGGGGGAGCTAAGGGCAACACATGCCAACCATGCCTACGCCACTCAGCAACCCAAGAAGCACGGCAATCAACGTGAATGTTACACTCAGGGGTTGCAACAATGTCAATGCCACGACTTTGCAGAAGAGTGCGAAGGGCACTGCCACAGGCAATGCCACGTTTGGCAAGGTTTAGAGTCATCGCCTTCAGAAACACGGCGACCCGTGAAACTCCAGCAGCCTCTCAAGCACAGTCTTAGCCCCAGCAAAAAAGGTCAAACCCCGGGCCTTGGCCTCAGCAGAGCAACGACTGTTTTCGAACAACTCGCGAACCTGCTCAAGCTTACTAAGGCGCTGCTTTGCATGCTTCAGATGCACATGCAGCGGCATCGGATGCTTCGTGCCAGGAAGGTGAGGGCACCCAAGCTTGAGGTGTTCCCGAGCATGCTTGTCGGTGCGGCACGGGAAGAAACAAACCTTGCACTGCCAAGAAGCTCGAAAAGCAACCTCAGTAATGCGCGTGCGCTTCGGACCCCTCAAGCAGGGCCACCTGAAAAAGGAGAATCCTGCAACGATGTCGGGCTTGCGTTGCAACTGCTTGCCGACCTGAGCGTTGTACCTGGTGACAGTGGCACGTTCAGCGCGCCCCTGGTAGTCGAGACCCCTCCATTTAGCCCAACGGATCTTAGGGTGGGCAGCAGTCTTATGAGCACGAATCTCAGCAGCAACACGTCGCTGGCAGGCTTCGCGCCCAATCTCGAAAGGAATGCCTTGCTCACACAAAGGGCACCGCCACCAATGTTGGCCATCAGGAAGCTGACAAATCATGTCCTTAACGACCTGAGTGCCAGCCGGGGTTTCGCCAGGATGCATCGCTCGAAAATGCGCGACCTGAAGGCAAGCAGCGGTGACATCATCACTGCATGCTCTCTGCCAAGGGCACAGCCGGCACCTGGCATACCCATCAACACAAAAGAGCTTACGCTTCTGCCCATGGCCGCGAACAGGCATGTCTTGATCAGTGCTCGCCAAGGCATAGCGTGACCCAGCGGTATCGATACTGGCAGCAGGGGTCCTAGCAATATCATCAGCAGCGGTCGACTCCGTACACGCTGCAGAAATGCCAGCCCCTTTGGCCGTGATAGGCATACAAGTCTTGCTCCTCAAACGTGCTTTCACAGGCCTCGAGGTCTCAAGCACAGACGTGGCAGCGAGAGAAATGCCTCGATGAACCGAGGAAGGTGCCGAATCAGAGCAAGCCTCACTGATGCCACCAACCAAGAAACCACCGTTAGAGTCGGTAACGACAGAGACGATCTCCTTCGGGTACTTGGCCTCGTCTGGCTTCAAGAAGTCGAAGTGCTTGTCATGGAAATAGATGGCCCCAACCTTGCGCTGCTTAGCCTTCCCGTAAGCACAGACATGCCACCGAGGATCAGCTGGGAAAAGCACCACCCGAATCGAGAAAAGACGACAAAGAGCCTTCAGCTCGACTTCCCCGCTGTACTTGCCCGGCATGGCAACCTGCTGAACGAAAGTGTCCCAATCTTGAAGAGCAGAGCCATCTGGTCCAGGTTTGCCATCAGCAGTCCAAGCTGGCTCATAATCAGCAGTGTGTCGCTCGATGTGGTCCGCAACACGAGCGCGCAAATCAAGGTGATTAATAGCCGTGCTCTCCTTGTTTGCCCATTGCAAAATGGCGCTGAAGGAGTGATACAGGCAGTTGCCATCACGCGGAACAGCATGCACTGAGCACTGAGCCGGGACCTCGCGCAAAGCGATCTTGGCACGCTTTGCGTTGCCCTCCTCTTTCTTTTTCTCAGCGGTTTCTGAGCCCTTTGCATCGCCGGCACTTGACGTGTCCATATCCCGAGACTCCTGGCTGTCGCCTGGGGTGGCATCGATCGTCTTGGTGACCGGCGTAAAAGGAGCAGCCTGCGCCTCAACAAAGGGCAAGGAGCCACCTCGTAGCCGCTTTTGACGCACCTGCTCGGGTCTAGCCGGAGCCAAACAAGCCCAGAGCATCAGCTGGCCATCATCGCCATCCTCGGCAGCAATGGGCAGGAGATCGCAGTCAGCCCCAGCCTTAGCAGCACCACGGAAAAGGAAGGATTTCTCACTTCCACGAACAGACTGTCTGATCATCTTCACCTCGTGAAAGCTGGCCTCAACGACTCCAGCAGCTTGCACCATATCCCAGTGACGTGGGCAACCGTTCAGCTGCCACACCCTAGAAAAACGAGTGGCCTCTGTGATGGGCTTCTTCCATCCGAGGCGTACGCCATGGCATGCCAATCCAATCGACTGTGCACGATGGGCTCGGGCGAAGTAGTCCTTATCAGATTCCTTGGGCAGCCTGTCGATCCACTCAATCGTTACGCGCTCCTTCTGCCCGCTGGGCGGGAAGGTGAAAACCCCAACCCCAGCACACCCAAGCAGAGTGGGCAGATCAGCCTTGGGGGCGCGAATGATGCCAAAGATCTGTGTGGCGTTGTTGCCAAGTTTCTCTTCGGACCACTTCCACGAATCAGTAAGCTGCACATGACGCCTAGAAGCCCAAGCTGCAATGGCATGACGAGGATTCTTGATGAAAGCGCTCCACTGGTCTTTGCTGACAAAAGCCTGAGGCACTTTCACAAAAAGCACCCCCGTTTCCTTGGCCTCAACCCGATGGGATGATCCAATGTGCTTGGGCTGCGGGGCCCCTTTGCCACTTGATGTGCACTGGACCGCCAAGCCCTCACGGAATTTAATCATAGCCCCAACCTTGCCCGGAATGGCTTGCTTAACCCCAGCTTCCTTAGACAATGCGTGTTCGAGGAGCTGCTTCTTGGAGAGATCAACGGCAACAAGCAAAGTCGAATACTCCCTAGATGAGGCCCCCAGGATGCGCCTAGCGATAGCAATCTCTGCAGCAGTGCAATGGACCACAGCTTCAAAGCACACCTTTGCATCAGCAGCCTCGAACTTAGCAGCAAAGTCCGAAAACATGATCAGAGGGCTGTTCCAATCCTGAGGCCGGAGCATGAACTGTTCGTCTGCAGCTGGCTTACGCTGCACAAGCTGCCATCCATCGTTACGAGGGGTCTTGGAGGCGGGGGGAACAGCAGCATTAGAAGCAGGTGGCTGTCCGTGACCTTTGCCCTTGCCTTTATGCTGACCCTTACCCTTGCCATCATCACCCTTGCCAGCAGCCTTAGCAGCAACAGGAGCACTAGGGTTCGGACCACTTGGGCCCCCAGTGCCACCCCGCTTGAGGGCAGCTTTTTTCAGCTTGGCTCGCTTTCGGTTCTTAGCCTTAGCACTGAGCGGCTGCTGGAGTCCAGCTTGCCCTAGCGATTGTTTCACAGCTTGCTCGACAATCTTTTGAATAGCACTCTTGATCGTATCAAGAAGGCCCGGACCAAGGAAACTCAAAGCATCAAGCCCCTTAGGAGGACCAGGATGGGAAGCTTCCCCAACCCTGACCCCTGCAAAGGGCTTGCCACTCCAGCGAGCAGAGACGAGGCTGGCAAAACAACCCCCAAAGCCCTGAAGACAGCCCGCAAACCAGCACACAGCAGCACTAAGACAAGAGTCCTTGCTTTTGGCATCACGGTCCTGAGCGCGCACGGGGTCCTTGGAAGCCACAGCACCAAAAGCGCAGAGTTCACCAAGAAGGCCGGGAGCGCGAGCAGCCACAGCAGAAGTAGTAGGCATCCAGTCGTCGGAAAGGTCGTTGCACATACCACCTGCAGTCGGCTTCGCGGGTAACCGGCACCTAGAAGAAGGCCTAAACTCTAGGGGGGCAACCGAGGAGGTGCGGCAAACATGCCCGTCGTCGTCCACCAGCTTGTCATCTCCAGCAGGAGGGACCACTGCCGACACGGGTACCCTGCACCTAGAAGTGGGACTAAACCCTAGGGGGGCAACCAGGGGAAGGCACTCAGTGTTGTCGTCGAGGCCACCAGGTGGTCGAATTGGGCCATCGTCATCCCGAAGATCGTCGTCTTTGGTGGCAGGTGCCACCAGCAGCACAGGTACCCAGCACCTAGAGGTGTGGCTAAACCCTAGGGGGGCAACCAGGGGAAGGCAATCAGGACTGTCGTCGCGGCCACCAGATAGTCGAGGTGGACCGTCATCGTCCCGAGGATTGTCGTCTTCAGTGGCAGGTGCCACCGGCAACACGGGTACCCGGCACCTAACGAAAGGCCTAAACCCTAGAGGGGAGACCGGGGTAAAGCGAGGCTGATGATCATCGCCACCGTTCCTGCCCTCCAGGAAGTCGAGCAACGTGCCGAAGAGCTTGCCGACCATCGGGAAGTGCAAGAAGCTCTGGCCGCCATCAGCAACATCATCAAAGCCGCGAAGATCACCATCGAAAGCAGCCCCAGCCATGGCTAGCATCGCGGTCGCATGAGGACCCCCGGGGGGCCCTGGAGGGCCGGTACAGCTTTGGGGATGAGGTCCTTGGGTCCTCCCCCCATTTTTGATCGACTCTTTTGCTCCTTCTTGAGGTCCTTGGGTCCTCTCCCCACTATTGATCGACACTTTTGCTCTTTCTTGAGGTTCTTGGGTCCTCTCCCCTTTATTTTTAGGGTCAAGAACAAAACAGCTGTCGACCTTGGGCAGAATCACGCCGAGGAGATCGAAGTACTGGCCGCCACCATCCCCCGATGAGCTCCTCATCAGCATCCGCTTGGATATCCCGGGGTCTTTCGACCACTCTTGACCAGAACTTCCGCTGATGAGGCCACCCATAGAGTCCCCAAAAGCAGCAGAAAAGCCCTGGATGCAAGCACAACATGTAAGGTCGGAGGCAGCGCCAATCACCTGCTCAGACTCGGATTTCCTGGGATCTTGCGACCACTCTTGACCAGAGTCCTCGCAAGTGATGTCGCCATCTGGATCGGTGTCGCCAAGAAATAAGCCCTGGGAGCCATTAGCATCACACAACTTGGAGTCAGCGCCAATCACCTGCTCAGACCAGGATTTCCTGGGATCTTGCGACCACTCTTGACCGCAGTCCTCGCAAGTGACGTCGCCATCTGGATCGGTGTCGCCAAAATATAAGCCCTGAAAGCCCTTAGCACCACGCAATTTGGAGTCAGCGCCAGCAGCTGGCTCAGGCCTGGATTTCTTGGGATCTTGCGACCACACCCGACCACAGCCCTCGCCAGTGTAGTCGCCATCTAAGTCGGCATCATCAATAGAAGCACCCTGACAGCACTCAGCACCACACAACCTGCAGTCAGCGCCAGCATCATGCTTCAGCCAGGATTTCTTGGGGCCTCTCGGCCGCTCCCGACCGCGGCCTCCACAAATGTAGTCGCCGTCGAAGTCGGATTGGTCCACATGAAAGTCCTGGAAAGGCGCGTCAGCGGAACTCTCAAGAACAGCGCCCTCAAGGAAAGCAAAGTCACAGCAATCATCGTCAAAGGCATCTGCGTTCCAGCACGAGTTCAGATTCTGAGGCCGGCCGGGGCTCAGCGCACCAAGCGCCGGGCCATTCCCTGTATCTCTCAGAAAACCATCATCATACAAAAAGGCAGGATGGGTAACCACGCCGCCCGAGAATCCCTGCAGGCACGGCATTCCGAAGTCTCGGTCTGCTTGCCATCTCTGGCTCCACCATGGAACCAAGCTATTGCTGGCCTCAGCAAGCTGCTCAGAGCTTCTGGCCTGCGCTGCCCTGGCATTCCACGCGGCCTCAAAGGACCACACGCTATGCCAGGCATGCCACTTTGCCTCGATGAAAAAGGCGTCCTGTGCTTCGACGCCCAACTGGGCACACAGTCTAGCTTCACTTTTACTGCACTCCAACAAATGTCCCCTCGCTCCCACAGCGGCCGAGAACATGTAAGTTGTATCCTGCAGACTTGAGCCATCATCTTTC